GTAGCGGTGTGGTGGCGCGCAGCCTGTCCAGTCTCTGGCAGTGAGCCTGCCCAATAATGTGAGGAGTGAAAGATGTCTTTGTACCTGCAAAACAATGTGAGAAAGAAAAAAAGTAATATCCATAGGCTTCACACTGTTCCTTTCCGTCCAGGTAAACCAAAGGATCAGACAAGGAATGAGGAAGCCGACGTGTCTAAAGTGTGTGCTCTGTGAGAAAAAACTCAGGAGCTCAAAGAAACTGTCTGTGGTGGGTAGGGATATATGAGTCCAAGTGGCACAATGCTCCCACACTCTCCTCATAATCTCACTCTCTAGAAAAAGGTGGGTAAAGGTCTCGGTCTCATGACGTCCGGTCTCAGAACAACACACACACCGGGAGGGGAAGGAGATCCCTCTCGCATGTAAAACAGTGTACACGGGTATCCGACGCAATAGGAGGCGCCAAAGGAAAACCGAAATAGTAGGAGTGAAGAGATCGCTCCAGATGGCTCCGAAGAGAAGATTAGGCCGATCTCTCAGCCTGATCTGCTCCCAAGCCGAGGTAGTATAAAACACAACCGATGATGTAAGTCTCCACCTCATGCCATCTGAACCGTCCCCCGAGATGGGGATCTGCTGGATCTGTTCTAATAACTGCTCGCTAAAGCACGCCCCGGAACCCAGCTCTCTATCAAGCTTCCCCCTATCCCACGACCCGTTAGTCCACAGGTCGCTCACAAGCAGGTAGGGGGAATGTGACACCTGCCTATCGCTAGACAACGGCCTATCACCTAACCACCACTCATCCCAAAAACTAACATCACCCTCACTCAAAACCCAAAAGATGTGATCCTGGGAGCGCCTACCGACCCTAGTGATTCGCCGCCACTGTCTGCTATCATGACTAACCGCCGTCACCCAACAAGGGTGGTTGGCACGTCTAGAACAGTACTTGCCGCGAAGGTACTGGCCCAAAGCGACTTTCCTTCCATGAAGCGCCACCATAATTTGTAGGAGAAGGCAGCAACTATATCCCTAAGACGGCGGATGCCAAGGCCCCCCTCAGAGAAAGGGCGGCAAATAGAGTCCCAACTCACCCAGTGAGTACGTCTCCCCCTCCCGGAACTGTCCTCGTAACCCCAGAAATAACGAGCCATAATCTGGTCAATCTCGTCAAGAGTAGACCTAGGGGCGTCGAGGACCATAAGTAAGTGAAGCGGAAGGGATCTAAGGGTGCTCTTGATCAGCGCAAGCTGACCACCAAAGGAAAGGTGTCTATGCGACCAACCAAAGATCCTATCGATCATGCTCTGTCTAATGTCCACGAAGAGCGCTCTCGAGAGGTGACCCTTATATAAAGGGGCACCAAGGTAGGTAATGGGAAGGTCACCCCGCGCAAAGCCAGTGATCTCCTGGATCCTTTGAGCCCAACTGTCCACGCTAGAGGAGGAGAGGGTGAAGGTGCTCTTCTGCAAACTGATCAGCTGGCCGGTAACCGAGCTATAGCGCTCCAGAAGGTGCATAATCTCGATCAGCCCATCAACATCCGCCCGTGTGACGATGATGATGTCATCCGCATAAGAAAGATGCGAGATGGGAACACCATAGCCACAGGTGCTATATGTCATCCGTGGATAGTCGCGGATGAAGCCGTCAAGGCAGCGAGAGAGGTAGTCCGCCGCAAGGACAAAAAGTGATGGGGAAAGGGGGTCACCCTGTCTAAGGCCC